GTCCACCCATCTTCAAGCTGCCAAGGTTGAGAAACACTGCTCTGGAGTAAGATTCCAAGCTGAAAGCTTTAATCTCTCGGCTTATGCTGCAGAATTTCAAAACTTCTGGGGTGTTTTCGGTGGTTCTCCCGAAGAGAGAATTACTGAGAAAAATTCCAACGGCTTTCAAACAAGAGACCCACGTTGCAGGTTGAAATCAGGGAAATCTGCTGGACTTCTGGTGCATATGGGTGGTTTCAGATAAGGGCTCGGCCGGGGAGAAAACAATTCTTCGATTCTTCGTGACCGAGTCCTTGCTGCCAAGATCCTAACCTGCATAGTTAAATACTTTTTTTATTCTTATTCTTTTATTTTCCAGGTAGTAACTAAAGTATCAGTGACCTCGTTTATCTTGGCAGTTTGCAGAGAGTTCCAGGAGCTAATCATCTTTTCCGTATCAGCTGGGGTAGGTGAGGGACCCCAGCCTGATGCCACGGGAGGGAAAAAAATAATGCAGAAGGAAAATAATTCTTTTGCTTTCTGGAAGGAAAAAAAAAAGATGTCTTGCTCATTCTCTATAATCCTCTGGATGCTGGGGCGAAAAATAAGAATGTTGTCCAACTTTTTGGCGGAGACACCATTAGAGGGGTCTGCAGGAGAGAAAACGGCGTTGCACCATTGTGATGTGAACCCCACCCATTTTTGCACACGCATCGTGATGCCGGGAGGCCTGGGCAGAAGGGGTGTGGCTTGCACACGGCTCCACGACTCACACTTAGGAATAACGCTGCGCGGACCAAGGTGTGCAAGGCTTTCTGCCTTCCCCTTTAAATTAGGGGCTCGCTAATTGAAACCCTAAAGCTAATTTAAAAGTAATCTCCTGATTCATGCAATTAATTAAGCACAGTTAATAACATTTGCACGCCTAAGCCTTTACCAATATAACGCTCCGCTCTTTTCTAAGCGCTTTTCTTCTTTCTGTTTTGTTTGGTTCTCTCTTTGCTTTCTTTTCTTAAATAAATAAAGGCCCTTTTTAAAAAACAAGCCAACCCACAAACAAGTGGGGTTGTTCTTTCTCCCCCGCGGTTTATAAGTCCCCCCTTTTTTGCACTGTTTCAGAAGGAGGCGTCCCCGGGGCGCGTTGGCTGGAGCTGAAAAGCCAAGCAGGGCGAGGGCAGGTTGGGGGGCCGAGAAAGAGAATGAATGAGAGAATGAAAGAGAAAGAAGGAATGAAAGCAAGGGAGAGAAAGGACAAGAAAGAGAAAGAAAAAGAATGAATGAGAGAAAGAGAGAATGAAAGAGAAAGAAGGAATGAAAGAGAGAAAGAGACAGAGAGAGAGAGAGAAAGAAAAGAAAGAAAGAGAGAGAGAGAGAGAGAAAGAGAGAGAGGAAGAGAGAGAGCAAGAGAGAGAGAGAGAGAGAGAGAGAGAGAGACAGAGAGAGAGAGAGAGAGAGAGAGAGAGAGAGAGAG